TTCTGATAGAAAGCTGTTTATCTTAGTGCATTCAAGCTGAGAATTAACAGACATTGAAATAGTTAGATCATTGGCATACTTAACAAAATTCATTTCATCAGAGTGAGGCAAGTCATGCAAGAAGAACGAAAACAGAAAAGGAGAAGGGACAGCGCCTTGAGGGACACCAGCCTCAGTAAACAATGATGTGGACGACTTTCCCTTACATACAGTGAGTGTGCTGCTTTCTTCCTGAGAAATAAGAATGGAGCCATTTGACAACCCAACAATCAGTTTGAGTTTCAAGCTTGTTTAACAAAATGTTCCTAGGTACTGACTGAGTCAATGTCCTTCCAAACGGCTGGTACGATATTTCTGGAAAAAGCTTCATTAAACATGTCCATGAGAGGATAACACAGGATATCCACACACTTTTTAAGAATAACACTAGGCAAACCATCTGGACCCAGGCTACAAGAAGGGTTCATATACTGGAGACATTTTAGAACATCATTTGTAGTAAATCCAGGGAAGGAGGTTTCGTTAACACTTGTAACACTAGAAAGTTTGGCATTTGTGGGAGAATGTATGATTATACAATCATCGAAATATTCAAGTGTAGTTTCTTCTTTTGATGTAGTCTGCATCGAATGTAAGATGAAAAGCTTGATGAAAGAGGAGGAGAAATCATAAACACATGGAATTCATAATGAAAATAACAATAATAATAATGGTAAATAAGTTTCCATATATCTCTCCTGTAGAAATAAAATTCTGTGTATGTACACTTGTAGAGTGGCGGTGTGCACACGTAGGGAACTGATAAGATGATGAAAGAACACACCCACGCACACGCACACACCTATGTGTGTGTGTATTTATGGTACAACTTTGATGTAGGCAAATACACTAATTATGATAAATTTGTGTGTTTATTTTTGAATTCGTCCATTTGGCTGTTTGTCTATAGTTTTCGTGAACTTTGATGATGTGCACATCAAAAGATGATGATAATTATAGAAAGGAATTCGAATTATTTGTGGCTTTCGACTTTCTCTTTAATTAGGGAGTGAAGTAAGTAGATAATCCTATAAATATATACCCTCCTCCCGGCCGCACGATCTGAATAAACTGGGCGGGGGAGAGGGTGGGAAACACTTGAAAGACGAAGGAAATATTTTTAGACGTTTGGAGGCAATCCGGAGGAAACCTTAAAGCTATGCTCATGTTTACCTGCACTTGTCAGAAAGGCGTATCTGCAATCTTTAGAGAACTGACGTCTGACGTTTTGAGATCCAAACCCGGGTCATTAACTGCTGCGTTCGGAGATGTTACCATATTACTTACTATCTAGTGTCCAATCGAAGTCTCCATGACAGTAATACAGTAGGCCAGTCACTACCCCCAGTAGCTTAGTGGCAATATCTCTGAATGTAGTACTGGGTGACTAAGGTTCGAATCTGATAACGGACATGAGTTCCATTGATTTGATGATATTAGATGGTTAGAGGCAATAGGTAGGAAGCTTTGATTACACTTAGGTTTCGTGCTAGTTGGAACTCACCAGTCAGCAAGGCATATCTGCTACCTTGAAGGAACTCACATCCCTTCCGAGATTCGAACCCACGTCATCCAGTGCTGCAGTCAGAGACGTTACCACTGAGCTATTCAGGGTCATTATTAATCTCCTGTAGGACTGTACTGGATACTTTGATTGGATGTGTCTAGTCCTTTCTTTGATGCAGACCGAATTCTATCAGTCAGGTTTGCAATGTGGTCACCATTCTAGAAAGCTCGTCGTCACGGTGCACCCTGCCGATGCACACCCGATATCTATGGTCGGCCTGCAAAATTTGGGCTACCGATATCAAATGCCTAAAATTCCATACTTGTACCAAAAATACTGTGTGGTTTCAAGCTGTAATCAAAAAAGTACATGAGTTCCTTCGGAATTGCAGGTGTGCCTTGATGACAAGTACCAACAAGCATGAAACTTACGTCCAAGGATTCCTATCGATTATCTCCAACCGTCCAACAACAATTAAAAATCTGTGGTGATGGTGAGCCACCCACCATGGTAGTCACATCGGAATCTTGACTGATAGAATTCATTGTGCACCAAACGAAGGATATTTTTTATTCCTTCACTTTCCCAGTGGAACATTGGGCTTCAAGCTAGTGACTTGAAGTTTCTGTAGCAGTGGTGTTTATTTTTACAGGATGGGGTTCCTAGCCTTATGCCCAACCTCGCCTCTTTACCAGTCTTGTTACTGACTTAGTGGGGGTAAATGAGTGAGTCAGCCGGGGATCGAACCACGGACCATGTGCATGGCCGGCGAGCGTCCTAACTGCTGTGTCACCAGCGCAAACAAAGGATTAGACGAATGGAATTAATTACTCTCTAGCGTTAAGTCAAAGTATGAAGTGAATGTCGTTTTATGAAGGAGATTTTGTTGAGATACTGATAACCTATGTTGCATTTGAAACAGAAGGGGATAAAAAACTCTTTAGTGCACACGTATCCCATGAGAATAAGTCTAATGTATTCTTTTTCTGCATTGAATCAATAAACAGATATAATTGGTCACAGGATTTCATCATGAGCTGACGTTGGTTAGAGAACCATTGGAAAACCTGGGAATACTGGAAAGCTGTTTCATCCTAGCTCGGGACTCTTCCACAGTACATACCCACCGCCAGGGGTCGAACCCAGGACCTTCTGGTTACAAGGCTAGCGAGCTCGTAGACCACTAAACCACTGGGACCCGATCCAATGGCCAGCTCATGAATTCTAACTTCTACCAATTCACGACATAGAGCAACCGCTAACCGATGTCTTCAGTGAGTATTTGTCCTGACGCTCGACCTACTGCACCCTACTGGTCATGACTTCCCACTAGAACCCCAGGTAACTACTACCTACCTGAAAGGGCAAGTCGCCAGTGAAAATAGGCATAAGCTTGAGTTTTGTAGACAACAAAGGTTTTCTGAAATAAAAAGTCATACAGAATGGCTTTTGGTGTCGGTGTGTTCTCAGAGGTGGTTTGTTTATTTGACAAACTTTCATAGTCCTTCCACGCAACATATTCAAAGTTAACTTCAGAATGAAGTAAGACTGAAGAAGTAGTTTTCATGAATGAAATGACCGTCTTTCCTGTTGATCTTGACTGTGATTGATTGTCCCAGAAGTTTTCTTAGCATTACTGAACATTTTGTTCACCCGACATTTGACGTTTTCAACGTGTGACTTATTCTTGACTGGCTGATAAGTTCGATTTAATTCCATACAGACGTGTGAATATTTCCGCAGAGAAGACATTTATTTCTTTCACAGAGAATTCTACAAGTCGATTTATTTTTCAAGTTATCGGTAAAGATATTGTCTAGAAGAACAGAGGAAGCTTCGCATTTAAACCATTCAACTCAGACTAATATGACCTGAGCTGTAAACATTCTCCACTATTTTACAATCACAATGGAAAAATATTTTGAGATGCTTTCAGTAATAGACCTTAGATTGATAAAACATTTAGAGTATAGTGATAAAGTTAGGTCAGCGCATGAGCTTCCGACTATTTATGGATTCAAATCGTTGGGATATATGTCTTACACATTACCAAACAATTTATTACTTTTGAAACTCTTATTGGTTTATCAACAGACTAGCCTAGTTGCCTGATTGTCAATGGTTCGATTCCTGGTGAGCACTGATGATGACTGTCAGACTAGGGCGAAACAGCTGTCCAGCATTTCTTCGTTTCCACTGATCCCAGATTGGATGTCGCATCGTAATGAGGTCTACATTTAAATGTTCTCTGTTCTATCATATTCGTATCTGATGGATATACACGTATTCTGTGTAAGCTCACATTTCTCTTGATTGCTGTTTAGACGTGTGACGTGTTGAGCTTCAACGCTTCTCCACAGAGTTCTGTCCTGATGTGTATCAGTTTATTTATTTCTTCTGTTATCCCTTATCTGAAATTATTATTATTGTTTCCTTTTTCCTTTCCTTCTTTTGTCTTCTCTGGCACTCTTCTTTACTCTTTTGTTCAGTGTTTTGTAGTTTGCATTCAAATTCTGTTTTTGTTGCTCGTCGGTGCACTGGATAATCTTTTGTTTCACCATCCTTCTCTCTTCTATCAGTCTCCAAGTGTCCGTCGTGAGCCACGGTTTGTCCTGTCTCTTCTTTCTGCCCAGAACTTGCATGCAGGTTTCACTCCATACTGTTTTCAGGTTGTCCTAGTGTTTTTCGACGCTGACCTCTTCGCTAATGTTGATTTGTGTCTCAGCTTTGTCCTTTATACTTGCAGTAAAGATATCCTTTGTATCCTGGTCCTTTAGTTTTTGAGTGTTGAACTTGGCTTGTGGTTTATCTGCAGCTCCTGTTTCTTTGAAAGCTCTTAATTTGATTTGGATTGTCCCTTGTACGAGGTAGTGGTCTGAGCCAGTGTCTGCTCCTCTTCTTACTTTCGTGTCCACTAGGCTACGTCTCCACTTTCTTGAGATTGAGATGAAGTCAATTTGGTTTTTGGTTCGCCCATCTGGTGACACCCATGTAGCCTTGTGGATATCCTTGTGTGTGTATACGCTGCCACCAATCACTAATTCATTGAAGGCTCAGAAGTCGGCGAAGAGTTCTCCATTTTCATTCATTTCTCCGAGAGCTTCTCTACCCATGATGAGTTCCCTTCCTGTGTTGTCTGGTCCCAGTTTGGCGTTCATGTCTCCCATTAGTATTTTAATGTCGCTGACTGGAGTATTGTCCATTGTTGCCTGTAGTCGTCTGCAGAATTCTTCTTTCTTCTCGAGATCTACGTTGTTTGTGGGTGCATAGCATTGTATAACTGACACTTTCCGTCCTTTGGAGTTGAATCTGGCGGTGATTATCCTGGGCGAGGTTGCCTCCCATTGCATCAGGGCAATGGGAGAAATTATGACGTTTTGTTATTCTATAGATTATAAAGTCTTTAATATATTCTTCCATTGGTTTTGCTATTTTTTAATCCATCCTGTTACAGCTGCAGAACTGGTTATACTGGTGTACGTTGTGATATGTTCAATTTACCGCAAACACTGGATATACTGAAATCATTTCGAGAAGAAAGTATCGATATTAGTTCACTTCAACAACCCACCGCTTATATTCTACACAATGTGATTGAAGCAACAGCGTAAGTGTGCTTATAATAAATTGGTTCCTTTTTTTATCAGGTATTTTTTTAAAATAATTACACTCATCAGTGTGGGCAAGGCTACAAGTAATTGCAAATCAAACTTGCCACACACTGTCGTTTCAGTATACTTGTATAGGTAGAATGGAGGCTGTCAATTACTACTTAAATTTCCTCAGGTAATTGGTTGATTTTGTATTATGGAGTGAGAGAAGTGCTATAATCATATAAGGTCTTATACCTGACTATTTCAAGGGTGTTACATCACCTTTTTTTAACACATTTGGAATATCTGCTTTGGCATTTGCTATGCTATACACGAAATACCTCATGACAGCTTTTTTTCCTTCACGTTCCCTAGTGGAACATACAGCTTCAAGCTAGTGGCTTGACGTGTCTGTAGCAGTGTTTATTTTACAGGATGGGGTTTCTAGCCTCATGGCCAACCTTTCCTCTTCACCAGCACTATTTCTGGTTTAGCGAGGTAAAGGAGTGCGTCTGTGGCCGGGGATCAAACCACGGACCATGTGCATGGTCGGTGGGCGTCCTAACCGCTATGCCACCGACGCACGAGACAGCTTTTCCAATGCTAAAGATTACTACTTTAATTCTAAAGCTAGTAGTATTTGTCAGTATGATGAATAAATTCCTATAGATTTAGGGTTAATTTTATATTGTCATATGGTTGTGTTCACCGGGCTGTCTGATGGTTTAATTGTGAGGCTTTCATTATCCCCCTAGACAACATCGCTCCAGCGCAAACTTCAATAAAAAATCAATTTATTTTTGAATTCTCCATGAATGATATAACTGTATCTCCATGACAACCTTTGTTGCGGTTACTGGTTAAATTGTATTCGTATTGATCGTTTATAATGACTTGTATTTTGTTGACTTTCCTGTCATATGGCTTATTCGTTATAGATTGACACATCTGGTCTATAATACTGTGTCAGTTAGTCACTGGGTAGTTCGAGTAACAGGCTTCTAGGAGTTCCCTGGTATTTTTATTGTTCCCATTGTTCAAAACTTCTACATTTAATAGTGTGAAATATTCCCATATTATGAATTAAAAGTCAATCTGAACGAAGAATATTCTTTTCAATAATTTCTCTTCAGGTTCTTACAATTATAAAATATAATATTTGTTGTCGTTACAATAAAGGCCAATTATGTGATGGATACACTTTTACGTAGAAGTACAGAATAGTTACAAAGTGTCAAAATAAATAGTATTTGTGTGTGACAAACGTGCTAGGCTGAATTGAATTACGAAATGTTGTGTAATGGGAGACGATGGTGTTGATTAGTCATAATATATTCGATTAGGCAGGTTCGTCTGCGGGTTAAAGAATGTTTACCAGATTGGTTCAGCAAGGGGGGAAATTAAATGTATAAAAAGCTCGATTCTCTCACGCTTGGTCGATACTGGATATCACATCGACGGCAATATTGCCTTCAGGATCATATACTGGGTCCTGAGGTAGTTATCACCTAAAGTCCGCTTACGTTTCTTATACATAGCTGAAGCTGTTGCGATAAGACAGACTAAAACGGAACTTTGTATCCAAAAAGAACTCGTTCAGACGCTGTTCCTACCGTGGCTGAAATTGGATTAATGTTGCTTCTTTTTGCCTAGAGTGCCTGTTCCCCTTGTTATTCTTGGTTTTTTTGCTTTGCTCATTATTACAATCATTATTATTCGTTATAATTTATACCCTTCATTCAAACATCCTCTCAGTACTATCGAATTTTTCATTTATACAATCCAGACTTATTATTAGTGATATTATCTCTTTTCTCAATATATGTCTCCACTTGTTTCATTTCACACATTCTTTATTTCATGATGAACCTGTCGTTACAGTCTTACTATCTCCTCATTAATACATTCTACTTTGTACTAGCCCTTCACCTGACACCTTTTATAAACTTAAACTGATTTGTCAAATTTTCCTACCTCACATTCTACGAATCTATTATGACTAATCAACACCATTGTCTCCCATTTCACAATATTTCGTAATTCAATTCAGCCTAGCACGTTTGTCACACACAAATACTATTTATTTTGACACTTCGTAACTATTCCAGGGTTAGATCCCCGGCCACCGACGCACTCCTTTACCTCGCTAAGCTAGTAATGAGACTGGTAGAGAGGAAGATTTGAGCATGAGGCTAGCAATCCCATTCTGTAAAAGTAATCTCCACTGCTACAGAAACTTCAAGCCTCTATCTAGAAGCCGTATATTCCACTGGGAACGTGAAGGAATAAAAAAACACATGACCAATAGCAGTGTAATTTGAATTGGCTGGCTGGCTGGAAACAACATAGAACTCGGCACCGAAGTGCAGCAGTTCCAGTTGCCACGTTCCAAATACCACACAAAGGTAGACAAGACAAGAAGATGAGTGAAGAGAATCAATAGAGTTTTGACAAGTATAAGAGGGAAACAGAATGAGTAATGCTAGAAAGGAATATGAAAGATTACAGAGACTGAATACATCTGCGTAAGCCATTGACAACGATTTTGAGTCATGTCACCTATTGTCTGTCTCCAGCCATTGATTCTTAGAGTCTCGAGGCCGGGCCCCAACCCGGAAGTCTGCATCTCCCTACCTGACTCAGTTTAACTGTCAAGGATTTCATGGATTGATTGATGCCATGTTTTTGTTTGGCCACCACTTACTCTTTTCCAACCTGCACCTATATCAGCTAGTAATGCCCGTATGGGTGAGGGAGGCGATGGTTAGGCATGCACAGCACGTCACCTAGCCATCTCATTATATGTAACTTTATTGCCTCTTCGATTGATTTTCCCTCTTTGCCCAACACTCTACGCCTAACCTAACGTCAACATTACTTACTTACCTTATTATACCACCTAACGTGAGAAAGAGATCGTAGACATCTATGATCAAAAACAGTCAACCTTTTCATGTCTTCAACTCGTATTGGCCATGTTTCAGAGCCATAGAGAAGGATGGAGCGAACTGCTGAGCAGTACACACGTCTCTTGGTTGATAGCCGGATGTCACGCCTACGCCAGAGACGGTGTAAGTTAGCGAAAGCGAATTAGTCACTTATGAGTTCAGGTCTCACTTAGGATGCCAAAAGCGCTGAAATTTTTTATTAAATACAGGTTAATATCAACCATTTATCAGCTCAAAGAAAGCAAACAAAATTCTTCAAGAAAGAATTAGAAATGCATCCAACCAAGTAGGTAGGTAGATAGGTGGTTTAACTTGGTGTATTATATTGCTTTTATTTTGAATGACCTTCCAGGCATCTACGATAATAACATTTTTATGGCTTTATTAAAAACTCTAAAATATTTAGCTAAATTATCAATACTACAGATGAAAAATTTCTGATTTATTGAATTTTGAACAAAGGTATGCTTGTTTAAATTAATTAATGAATTAATTAACTAGCTAATACATAAGGGTTAGACAACAATAAGGATTCCAGTCAGTAAGTAATTATGTAAGTACGTGTTAGGCATTTTAGGAATTTATTTATAAATGTATACCATTACAGTATAAATAAATATTACAATATTAAAAAAAACCTGTAAAATTATTATTTTAAATTTTTGGGTAGAGAGGTGAATGTCTACATTATCAAGTTGTGGAACGTTTTGTAGCTCTCTGAGCTTTTCTAATCATTTTCGGAATTGTATTTGATGTCAAAGCATGCATGTGGTCCGGGACTCGATCCCCAGTCGACTCACTCCTTCACCTCGCTAAGCCAGTAACGAGAATGGAAAAGAGGGAAGTTTGAGCATGAGGTTAGCAACCGCATCTCATAAAAATAAGTTCCACTGCTACCGAAACTTCGAGCCTCTAGTTTGAAGGTGCCCTATGTTCCACTGGGAACGTAAAGGAATAAAAAAAATTTAATATCGACTTTAGTGCGACTTTACATGGAAAAGAGTATTTGTCGTCTTATTTTTCTTCAAAAAGGTGTTCGAACAGTTTTTGTTACTCGACGTTTAACAAAATTACCAGAATGTAACTGAAGTTGTCATAGTAATTAGGAGTATAGTTCGTTCATCTGATGTAGAATTTTCCCTCCACTACTTAGTTTTTGATGATTTTCAATGTGATTCTGGTTTCTGATGAAGTCTGCCTCAACAATTATCTAATTTCCAAGTATTGATTTTGAAGGGATTTTGTTTGATTGGATGGAGGATTTCCTCATGAGCGAAATGGTCGCGCTATATCGTGAATTGGCAGAAGTTAGAATTCATGGACCATTGGATCAGGTCCCAGTAGCTCAGTGGTCTATCAGCTAGCTCATCTTGTAACCAGAAGGTCCTTGGTTCGACCCCTAGCGGTGCGTGCATACTGATGAAGAGTCCCAAACTAGGACGAAACAGTTGTCCAGTACTCCCAGGTTTTCCAGTGATTCTTTTACTGATGTCAGCTCATGATGAAATACTCCATCCAATTATCTAATTCCAGCATTATCAATCAACTAGATATTGGCCCATTTGTCACACTGGTGACTAAATTCTAGATGTAACTCATCAAGTTCCAGTGAGAAACCTCGAGATAATTAGTTCTAGTAGGTCAGTTGAATGAGAGGGCAAATATTCACGTAGGACGTTAAATGATGGGTATCACTATGTCATGAGTTAAAGGCAGTGAATAAAGCTCATAACTAGCTAATCTCGGCTTTAATGTCAGACCACTGAGAACTACCAGTCGGAGAACATGTAGGTGGCCTATGCTTGATTGGGCACTAGATAAAGACCATAATCATTTGACTGGTTCTGATGTCAGTAAACCGGAATCTACCAATCAGAGGACGCGTTGATTTTACCTATGGGGACGCAAACATCACGCTGACAGTCAGGTACATGCCACTTAAACGTTCTCTGGTTGGTAGTTCTCAGTAGGCTGACATTAGGGGCCGAAAACAACTAGTTATGGTTTTTATCCACTGCTCATGTATTGAGCAGTTGACTGTGTTCTAAGATAAATAACTTCAATGATTAAAAAAAAATAATTTAAGCAGCGAGTCAGATTGAATCATTATAAAATTAATTAAGATAATCCAGGTTGTGTTAGATGGTTGGAGGTAGTCTGCAGGAAGCCTTGTACCCAGAAGATACGTGAGTCCGAATAGCTTCACAGATAAGATCTCCGCATACAGAACTGGGTAACCCAGGTTCGAATCTCACAAAGGATATGAATTCCTTTGAGATGATAGGTATAGCTTTCTGATGAGTGCCAGAAAGCACGAAGCCCAGGTCCTAGACTTCCTCCAGATTGCCTTCAACTATGCAATAACAACAACTCATGGTGCGGTGTGATGGTGAGGTACTTAGTTACGTGACGACACTGCAAACTTGACTGGTAGGATTCCGTCTGTCCCAAACTAAGGACTACACGGATAACAGGAATTACTATCTAGCGTCCAATCAATAATTTTCTAAACGTCTCACTATGTAATAATAATAGCTCTATTCTGTAATGTAATGTACAGAATTCTCTCGGGTTCCGAGTGGAACATAGGGTTTCAACAACATATCTCCACTTCGTTCTATTTGCTGTTATCCCTTTCAGCCCGGTCCACGATTTCCCATAAGCTGTGATCTTCTCTTTGTTAAATGTTCTCCATGTTACCCTCGGACTCAGCTCGACTCGTCGTTTCTCATTGGGTTTCCCCTCGAGCGATGGCCTGGCGCGCAGTGTAATTCGACGGTCTCCTCAAAGTATGCCCGATCCATCTCCATTTTATCCAACATGTATGTTAAGGGATCGGCTCTTGCTCAGTTTGTTCCCATAATTTCTGGCTGATAATTCTTTCTGGTCATTTGATCTTCAATATAGAGCGAAGGCAGATGTTGATAAAAGTCTGTACTGCCCCGTTGGAAATGCTTTTCGTGACACGTGTGTCATGTTTCTGACCTATATAGGAAGGCTTACTGACTTCACATTTGTATTGAGAATCCGAATCATGTTCGTTATGCTGAGTGCAGAAGATTTCCACACTGGTTTCAGACTGACAAAGGTGTACCTTGCCTTTCCGAATATGGCTGGCTTTGACATCTTCATCCGTTCCGCCTGTGGTTGAAACGATGCTTCCTAGATAAGTGAAGGAAGTGACTTCTGTTAAATTTCTCCCGTTGATGATGGCTGGTGCTGTTTGTTATTGCTGTTGGTACGGGGGTATCCGCATCACCTCCGTTTTCTTTATATTCACCTGAAGTCTTGTCTTCTCTGGCTACTTTTACATAAAGTTTGTTCATTGTCGCCTCTAAGTCTTCCAGTTCTTGACACTAGACATAGATCGTCTGAGAAATCTATATCTTTTAGAGTCTTCTTGTCGGTGGTTCAGCGTATTCCTGACTCCTCGCCCCCAACAGTTTCACGTATAATGCAGTCCACCACATTTAAGAATATCATCGGTCGTAATAAGCAGCCCTGTTTTACTCCTGTATTCACTCAAAAGGCTTCCCGTTGTGGATCACCTGACACGCAGGATTATAATATAACTGTTGAATTAGGTTGATACAGACTTAGGCACTGCTCGCCATTGTGTTGAAGCAGTTTCCAAATGACTTCTCGGTCAACGCTGTCGAAGGCCTTTTCGAATTCGAAGTCACAGTACAGGTTTAACTACCATTCTATGCTTTGTTCTGTGATGACGAAGCGTAGAGTTGCAATTTGATCAGCACATGATTTGCGTTTCCTGAATCCAGCTTGTTCCTGTGGTTGGTAGAGTTCTGTATCCAGCGAATCTTTTATTCTCTCCAGGATGGCAGTTTGATTGCTTTTGTATGGCAGGGTCACTAGTCCCATGCCTAGCCCTCCATCTTTACTTAGGCTTGGGACCGGCTAGAAAACCAGCGAGCTCTAGTAAGCTAGGCGAGGTTCATTGCACTATATTTTCTCTTCGTCCAATATCATCAAATAAAATAGTACTTGACGATAGATCGTGTGATACAATGCAGTCTAACCTGAAGTGCAAATTAATCCATTATGATATTCCTTTTTCTTCTTCTTTGCGAAATGGGCAATATTTGGTTGGAAGTCAACTATAAAATGTCGAAGAGTACATTTGGAAATCCACAGACAATTCCAAAAAAAAGAGTTTCACTCACGCATCGGAATATGTTGCCAACTGCGGTTATGCTTTTTTTTCTCAATTTGAGTAGAAATTTTTCGAATCATCATGAGAGTGAACAATACTGCAACGGGAGAAGACAAGGGATTTAGTGATGGCATGTTTATTTGTAATGAGATATAAGCACATAGGGGAAATTATGTGCGCCTTATATTAAAGTGACTGACCTTGACGCGCTTTTCGATTAATACGTTACATTTGCATAGTTACCTAAAACTCTGATTTTTGTGGAATATCTTGCCAAAAAGTTGCAAAAAACTATTACAATTATTTGCCTTTGAAACACTGAATCCTTGGATATAATATTGTATAGCAATTATACCTATAACTATCTGTTTGCCACTCTGTGCTTGTTTAACACTAACTAATACCTATAATTGTATATATATTGATGGATTTACATGTTCAAGTTGGCTCAAGTCAGTGAGTCTATGATTTTGGTTAACTGTACTTGACTGTGATATTATTATTGTTGTTGTCGCTTGTTACCCTTCTTGTTGTGAATTAGTTTCCTGTGCTGGTGTTGTTCTGATTGTTTTATTCCTTGTTTTCCTGGTTTTAAGGGGAGCAACCCATAAGGTCACTTCTCTCTAAACTATATTTTAATGTAACAATCCCCTTCTCACGAGTGAGGCTAGCAACCCCACCCTGTAAACAAAATTGCTGCAGAAACTTCAGCACGAATAATCTACGGCTGAAGCCCTACGTGCCTCTAGGAATTAAAGGAAACAATAATAATTATATTAAAGTCGTCATTTGCACAGGTCTACCGTGTAGTGCTACTTCTGCCCTTCCTTCGTATTGCGATACTTTGTCTTCCTTTTCGTGCCTCCCATGATTTTTTTTTACAATACCTGTTCGTTTCCACTCTTTGGCGCCAAATCCACCTCTCCACTATTAGATATTTTTGTGCCAATGAACCTCTCTTCATATACTACTGATGGACCCTGTCAGTAGAACATGTAACAATACAACTAGAGGTCATATCGTAATAGATTAAGAAAAACTTTAAAAAAAAACGAAGCAAACTGATGGGGTTTCTGGTAACCTAAGTTCTAAGTAGACTGCCCCATAGCCTTTATCATCAGAATTTAGAAATATCGTGATTTGATTCTCTGAACCCCCAATAGAATTATTTCATGCTATCAAAAATATTTGAAGTTTATACTTTGCCTACTCATAAGTAGCATAAATAACCTCACAAAATTTATTGTTGTTCGTTTTTTTATTTTTTTTCAGACGATACACAGTAAATGCTGTATTAGAAGAAAGCTTATTATCAACATGGGAAGATGATACACCCTTCTAATAACTTTTTTCAAATAAAATACAATGAAGAGAAAATCATATACTTTTTATACACATGTACTTATGTATGAAGAATAAAAGTATAGCACAAATAATTGTAGATATAATGTATTGCATTTATTATTACTATTATTATTATTATTCCCACTTAGATATTAATTTCCCCGTTTCCTTCACGGCCCACCTTATTAAAAATAAAGTCTTATTATTAAGTATTTTATTTCCCATTTTATAATTCTCATGCATATTTGTCAACAAATAGTATTATGTAAAACAAAAGATATTCATACATTTCAATCTTTTTTTTGTCTTTTTCATAATAAAAAGTAAAGAATATTAAAAAGAAACTACCAACTGTTTCTCTGTTTTTTTCCGCTGGTGGAGTGTTTGAAATGATAGCTAACAGCTGGCAGTCTCATTGGGGAACACTACAACTTATCAAAAAGAAAAAGCAAGTACGCTTAGTTGATTGAGTCCCGAACCAGATGGAGTGATGAATATCCTCTCCACCCAACTTCAGCCTTGACATCTGGGCAGTATTATCAGACCTCCGACAATTTTATTCTGAATGGAACATGGAATTTCAACAGCACATTTCGACTTCATTCCTCTTTTAGCTGGCTTCATAACTTTCTGTAAGCTTTTACTTTCTTCACATGTCACCCTGGTACTCCCAACTAATTCGTTGTTTTCACATTCGAATTCCAAACGAGTGCCTGTTTGGAGTGTGATATCACTCGACAGTCTTTTCAGAGTATGTTCAATCAGTCTCCATCTTCTTCGACATATTTATTGGGTAGTAGGTTCTTGACTAGTTCATTGCTAGTCCTTTCTGGTCGGCCATCAGATGTTTAGTAAGTAACCAGCTGGTGGTGAGTCAAGTCTCTGAGTCATATAGAAGCACTGACTGACTTGACAGTGTAACAACAGAAGACAAGGGCCAGGCAACAGATCAGTTTTATTACGAAAACCAACAGGTATTTATATGTATTTTACGTACATTAATAAGGCTTCTGCCCGCAGAAAGAAGGCGGTCTTCTGATTGGTTGTTTGCAAACAAACGCAGTCTTCTGCTTTCTCGTTTTCGATATTTCTCGGAAATGCGAGCCACTTGTCTGCGAATCATATTTGTCCACGTCTAGGTCAGCTGTGATCGGTTGTTGAATCAGCCTAGATTAATTTCTACCAATCAGCGTAGATCAATGTCTACCAATTGGCTAGCAGCTTGCTCTCACCACAACAGTACTGTTGAGAATTCAAGTCATGTTCTTCATGAAGAGTGCAGCAGATTCCCACTGATTTAAAATTTTTAATGAAGTCTACTCCTGTCTTTCTGACAGTGACTGGATTGATATCTTTAGCCGTACTGACCGTCTGTATTTCAACCGATTCTGTCTAGATAAGTGGAAGTGCTGATTTCCTTCAAATTTCTCCCCCTTTGATGGTGATTGTTTTTCTTGGTCAGGCATCTTCATTACCTCTATCATCCTTGTGTTCACTTGAAGTTCTGTCTTTTTTGCTGTTTGCCAGTCTGTTGATTTTCGCCTGTAGATAGATCTTCGAATTTGTGTGATATTTGGACATAAATCGTTCACAAAGTTCAGATCTTCAAGTCGGTCGATCCAGCGTATTCTTGTCTTCTCACTCCACACTATGTATTGCATGATCCAGTCCACCTTATTCATAGATGCTAGTTGGATAGCTTTTTCTTACTCCTGTGTTCACTTTGAAAGGCTTCGCTGGGTTTTCTTTCCATTGCTGATCAAGTGACATGTGGCATCATCATAATATAACCCCCGATTGAATGAGGTTAATAAAGTTTTGAGGCACTGCACTCCTTGGAATGTTGAAGCAGTTTCCAGTCAGTCAGTGGCATTATGTTATGTTAACTTTAAGACACTCAAAACGTTTATACTAGGAACTGATGTCTGTCGCCACACTCCATGTAGCACACAAAGCAAGATGAGAAATCCATAATATAGACAGTAAACAAAGGTGTGAGACAAAGGAATAGTAATAACGAAGAAAAAAACAGTTTCATTGGAGATCATAAGTCACAAGGAGTGGATGCATCTGCGCCAGCCATTGAGAACGATTTTGAGCCATGTCACCAATCGTTTCCAACCATTGTTTTTCACCGTCCCGAGGACCCCAACCAGTCAGGAAGCCAGTCTACACCTTCCTACGTGACTGGCTTAGACTAACTGTTGTAGATTTCATTGACTGATGAAGCCATGTTTTCGTTTGACCACCACTGGCTAGCTCTTTTCCAGCCTGACCCTATATCAGCTAACATTGCCCATTGTCGAGGAAGGCGATGACTAAGCATACGTAACACGTGTCCTAACCATCTCAGTCGATGTAATTTCCAATATTACTCACATATACCGTTTGACACCAATGGTCGGAGACGACTACTCACTGTATATGTTTCACTTTCAATGACTATATCTCATTGCCATAGTAATGAGCGGAGCAAACTCCTTCGCAACCCACACATCTCGAGATCGATAACCGGATACCACGTCAACGAAAGATATAGGATAATTGGGTGGACGATACATGAGCCTTTTGGATCTATGGGTGTTGAGACATAGTCGTCAGTAATCAGTCCTATAGGAGTGATGCACACAATGAATCGGACTATAGGTATCATTGTAACGTCATATTTTGAGGTGAGACTATGAGATTTATCATACTTAAAGAGTAGTAGTTCAACATAAGTTTATTCATAAAAAAAGACATTACATATAACAATATATATAAATACATATCTGAAATGGAACAGTACAAAAATCAGGAACCAATTCGTACACGCAAGAATTAGGCCTTATAAGAATAAAGTCGAAATTATGAAATTCTGCGGCAAAATCATGTACAAAGGGACAAGCTGTCACATATAGAATAAATAAATACACACGGAAGACACAGTCAGATGAAAACAATATAAAAGTCAATCTGAACGAAGAATATTCTTTTCAATAATTTCTCGTCAGGTTCTTACAATTATAAAATATAATATTTGTTGTCGTTACAACAATGGCCAATTATGCGGCGGATACATTTTTCCTTAACGTAGAATAACAGATGAGTTACGAGGTGTCAAAATAAATAGTCATATTTGTGTAACAAACGCGCTAGGCTGAAATGGATTACAAAATATTTCGGTGAAATGGGAGACAATGGTGGTGTTTAATCATGATAGATTTGTAGAGTCTGGGGTAGGAAAATTTGACAAGTCAGTTCAAGGTTACAGAAGGTGTCAGGTGAGTGGCTGTTACAAAGTTGTATGTATTAAAGAGGTGATAGTAATACTGCAATAAGAGGTTCATCATGAAATAACGAATATGTGAAATGAAACAGGTGGAGGCATGTATTGAGAAAAGAGATAGTATCACTAATAATAAGTCAGGATAGTATCAATAGAAAACTCGATAGTATTGAGAGAATGTTTGCATGAAGGGCATAAATTATGACGAATAATAATAATAATAATAATAATTGTAATAATAAGCAAAGAAAGAAAAACCAAGAGGGTTAAGGGGAAGAAGCATTCTTGTTGAGAAGAATCATCAATCCAAGCATTTCACACTATTAAATCTTAAAACAATTTAGTTAAACATTTTATACTACTTATAAGTAGCTACAAATTTTAGACAAACATATTTTCAAGTATTAGTTTGCGGGGATTTCATTGATTTCAATTTTAATTGTAAATAATTGGAAACCAGAGAGTACTGAACAACTGGTTCATCCTACTTTGTATCTCTTCATCAGTACATACCCATGAATTCCAAACCACTGATTGTCAGAAGTTATAATTCATGGATTGTTGAATTCCATTCCAGTGGGTGAGTGATCTACGGTCATAAGCGCATTTTTCTGAAGAGTCTCAGATTAGGACGAAACAACTGTCCAATACTCCCCGATTTTCAATAGTTCTGTAGGTGATTTCAGTTCGTGATTAAACTTCAAATACAATATAGTATACAGGAAAAAATTGTAGATTGTTTAACGCATAAGTTGATGAAAGACAAGGCTTAATAACACCTGAGGAAAGGCCGGAGGATAGCGCACAGAGGGAAGACAAGCAGGTGGCATTGGAGTGAAGTGAAATAATACAAAAACAAAACAAAACAAAAAAATAAATAAGGCAAAGTTTCTTTTTTATGATACATTTACTTTTGGTGGATAAATTGAATATAAAACAGATGATATAATGACTGCTAGTGCACCAACAATGAAACCACTAGTTAATTGCATTTTCAAAAAGATAACAGAAATTGCACATGACAGAACAATTGAAACACAACAAGCGAATGCCTGAAAGAAGAGAATAAAAGGAAAAATAAATAAATAAAACAATTTAAGACATTATTAAATAGTTGGAGGCAATCGGTCACAGGAAGCCTTGGCTACACCTAGGTTTCGTGCTACTTGACACTCACATGTCAGCAAGGCGTATCTGCAACCTTGCAGGAACTCATGTCCCCTCTGAGATTCAAACCCGCCTCACCCAGTGCTGCAGTCAGAGACGTTGCCACTGAGCTATTCGGGCTTGCGATCTCTGACTGCAGCACTGGGTGACGCGGGTTCGAGTCTCAGAAGGGGCATGAGTTCCTTCAAGGTTGCAGACACGCCTTGCTGATGAGTGCCAACTAGCACGAAACCTAGGTCCAAGGCTTCCTGTGGCTGATTGCCTCCAACTATCTAATATCATCACAAACAATGTACACCGTGATGGCGAGCTACCTAGAATGGTGGCCACATTACAACCTGACTGATAGAATTCAGTCTGCACCAAAGAAGGACTAGATACGTCAAACTAGTTTTTTTCCTTCACTTTCCCCAGTGGAACATAGGGCTTCAAGCTAGTGGCTTGAAGTTTCTGTTGGAGTGTTTATTTTACAGGATGGGGTTGCTAGCCTCATGCCCAACCTTTGCTCTTCACCAGCATTATTTCTGGCTTAGCGAGGTAAAGGGGCGCGTCGGTCGAGGATCGAACCCCGGACCATGTGCATGGTCTGCGACCGTCCTAGCCGCTATGCCACCGACGCTATGTGCTTAGCTCGAGGCCTAGTTACTAGTGTCCAATCAAAATTTTAGACATTAATTTCTGTTGTTGTTGATAAAATAGTGTTGAAAGAAGCATTGGCTAGTTAAGTTAGGATTATATGATCTACACTGTTGGCGTGCATGTATGTGAGAAAGCTAGTAATAATACTGGTGTCTAGTTGCCTAGGTTGAAGTAAGTGGAACCCAGCCTATGAGTTACATCTCCATCTGAGAAGTATTCGCTACAACACCTGATCAATAAGGTAATCCATTTTCTCTTTGTCAGTCAAGTGCTGCTTGTCAATTTACCCTGAAAAACACTCACTTTAATTAAATGCAAATAAGCCATCCAATTGAACATTCTACACTGGCATATTTATATATTGTGCCAGAGGCATGCTGTGTAGGCTAATAAAGGACACTACTACTACTACTATTGACCCGATTAGACAAAATAATTAAAATAATCTACAAAATACTTTGCAACGACTGTGAGGTCAACTATATAGGTCAGAGACCAGTGTAGAATGTGACTGAACCCACTGGGGTGAATAGTTTACAGAGGAACTCAGCAATGCATGCTATGCATGTATTAACACACAACCCCACACAATAGGATGGAACACAGTTATAGTTCTAAGAACTAATATGGTTAGGTGGAGAGAGAGAGGTTGATTACTGAATCTTTGTTCATTGAATCTACAATTAACACATGTAGTAGTAGTAGGAATGCTACAACGCCAATACCAGAGATATTACTACCAATTAAATTAAAGGATAAGAATTAAATGGAATTGTATAAACAAAGTTTGAAAGTTATGTGAGTGCCCTGATTATGACTATGCCCAATGAATTATTTTCGAGACGTTATCAGTAAATAATAATAATTCTTACGTGGCGGCCTGCTTAAATCTTGGGCTACCAAAATTTCCATCCTATATATTGCATCTATTTCCTCGGATTTATTTTATTGTAATCATTCAATTATGTGTCTTAATCGTATTGTTTACTCTCGTGGTTATTTAAAACGTCTCCAACCGGCTGATTTACTAGTTTCTAACAAACTTAAGAAAGAGCTTCATGGTGGATGGCAACGAGCTTTAAAGCGTACTCCAATGCATTTGATGACTGTTCCTGTGATTATGAGCAAAAATTGCAGATCTCTACCAAAGAAGATTAATTACTTGCATTCTCTATTATACTCAAATGTATATTGTAATACTGGTGTAATTAATCTTCAAGAAACTTGGCTCCACGATTCATATGACGATAATTTAGTCTCTTTACCTGATTTCACAATGTACAGACAAGACCGATGCAGCTCAAAGAAGAAGAGAGGTGGAGGTGTTGTCACTTTTATTAATTCTCAGTGGTCTACTGCCAACAACGTCTGCTTCAAATTCTCAAATGACAATATTGATTGTATAACTGTTAAATGCCGACCTAAACACTTATCTAAGTATAACTGCATTTTTGTCACAAATATTTATGTCACACCTTCTTGCAGTCTCTCAGAACTGTCGATCTTTGCTGACGAATTCACTATTTTTGCTGCTGCTTCGTTTGGTAACTCCTTGTCTGTAGTGACTGGTGACTTCAACGCCAGTGACTACAGTTTTATTACATTGCTGGGTCATGAAAATGTGGTTAACTTCCCAACTCGATAAGATACTTAACTTGATTTAGTATTTATAAATGATTCTGGAATATATAGATTATAATGTGTTACTGTGTGGGTTTTTTTATCAAATAAATTTTTCTCTATGATGGAATTAAACTCAACCACAGAGCCAAAGTCCTAGTTTTATGTCAATGCTACTTTATGACACATCAGAGGAATGTAGCTCACATTAGCCAAGGCATTGAATTTTCAACTAATACGTCTGTTTTCCGAACCTCTTTTCATCTACTTCATTTTGAGCAACTTGGATAAGATAAGCTCACAGTCTGGTTAATGGCTTTCTGAGAAACAAACACTTTTCGGTGCTTATCGATTTATCCTGAGGCAATAACTTCATTTAAATATAAATATGAAGTATTCGTTAAACGTTTCACGCCGGTACATCTATTTGTACTATGCTTGTTTCATATATATGGTCCGGGGTTCGATACCCGGCCACAGACGCACTCCTTTACTTCGCTAAGCCAGAAATAATACTGGTATAGAGGAAAGGTTGGGCATGAGGCTAGCAACCCTATCCTGTAAAATAAACACTGCTACGGAAACTTCAAGGCTCTACCTTGAAGCCCTATGTTCCACTGGGGAACGTGTGTTTCATATATATATATATATATATATATATATATATATATATATTATACATATATGAAGATATCAGAAGTGAGATTAGAAAGGCAAGACAGACATTTTGTACTCTGAAATCAGTATGAGTTTTTATGTGATACACAGACTTGGTGCGCGCGTCAACGGAACTACTTCCTACACGGTTCAGACTTCGATCAATAGTTGCCTTCGCTGGCTCCATAATGAAGACCAGGCGGCCATCTGAAAAGGATCAGCAACAAGGGGATCGGCCAAAGTGAGCGTTCCCTTCGAATTAGAATCCAAGAACACAAATCAACCGTGAAAAGACACGATATGTATTCTTTAGTATCAATGCATATAGACAGTTATGGTTATCAATTTGAGGATTGGGATAATGTCAAAATATTAGACAGAGGAAACACCAATAGTGCAGTCAGGGAATTCCTAGAAGCCTGGTACTCAAACGAAAATGCAATTAACAAACACGTTAATATAGACGAAATATACCAACTAATAAAAAGTAAATCAGGTGACCAGAAAGTTTAAAATCCAATTCAATAGAAAATGGTCAGTACATATGTAAAGATAGTTACCAGGAGACGCAATTATATCACTCATGAAGAAATTTAAATCATTTCACTTTGTGCTAAATACTGCGCTGAAAGGGGATGTTGTCCAGCAGGGGGACGACGAAAGCTTCGCAACTAAACCAACCAGGTCAGAGAACATTATTAACTGTAAATCATCCACCTGAGCTACAAATCTTCTCTATTATTTCAACAGGGGAGATCTAACAATGCAAAGAAGTTGCTAATTAACCTGTTGCCGACAGAAAATATAACGAAGGAAATGGAGATGGATTGGACAAACACTGAGAAGATCAGTGAGTGGCATCGTGAGGCAGCAGGTTAGTGTTCCAGTGGAACCTAAATGGGGAACGACGAGTTGGAGGTTGGCTCGAGGGTGACGGTGACATGGAGGAGATCACAGTTTTGTAGGCAATCATGGAGCCAGCTAAGGAGAGCTGCAGAGGTCAGGTTGAAATGGCGATATGCTGTTGAAACCCTATGTTCCATTCGGGACCTAAGGGATTAATTATATATATATATATATATTCCGTAATTGGATTTACGACACATAATGTATCCCAAGAGTCTTAGTTCCTCAAGTGTTAAATGTAGAGGTTTTTTAAATAAAATAAAAAGCATCTTGTGGAGCCAGGTAAATCGGTCGTTCGACGCGCACCCTGTCCAAGAGGATTCAAGAACACTATCCAGCATGGTTGCGAAAAGGCAATAGTGGTGCAATAAGGAGTGAGATAATTGAACATCTGGTTAACACTGATCATTCCATTTCAACAAACGCCTCCTGCTTCAAAGTAATCTACAGAGTCAAGAACAACCTATCAAATGCAATACGGTTTCGCCTTCTTTGTATCGTTGAAGCTCTGGCCATTCACATAGAAAAACCAGAGCTGTGCATACAAAAGAGGATCACTCAACCACTTCTACTGTCTTGGTAACAACTTTTTTGATTTGATTTTTTTTTACTTTGATGACTTAATTTTGTTTCTTTGCCTGTTCTTTAACTGCTTATAATTCTTGTATTCATTTAGAACTCTTACGTAATTTCGTATTCTCTACTTTGTTCCTATGTGCATCCTGAGTAAAACTCACTCATCAAACTATTCATATTATTACATAACTTCTTTTAACAACTGGTTGTGACAACTCATCACCTTTGTTACTACCCTAATTTCATTAACACCTAATTTTCTTGACTGATTTTGTATTACGTAACTCCAATTACCAATCTTCACCTGTTTAGTTAAAATAACTATAACTAATTGTATTTTGTTTGACAAACTTAATGTACACATACATACAAAACAATGCATATATATTTGCGATTGTACAGCTAAGAAAATGAATTCGCCGCCGAAAAGAGACTCTTCGCTGATCTACGTGTTTTGTTTTCATCTTGCGAATTGTGTCAACAATTAGGTCAACCAATCAAACTACACCTAAGAGCAAAGGGGAAGCGAATCAGCCAGATCCTAATCAAGATAATCACATACTTTTCCACATGACACTGAAGTTAGTTAGCATCAGAGCAGTTGTCCAGAAGGACAATGAAAGTTTTGGAATCGAACCATTCAGTGCTCAGAGAACACAGATTCTTTTTAAATTTTATTCCTTTGCGTTCCCAGTGGAATTATAAGGGCTTCAAGTTTGAAGTAGAAATGATGTTTATTTTTCATGGGAGTGGGGTTGCTAGCCTCACGTCTAACCTTACCCCTCTACCAAGCTTACTACAAACAACTAAGCTAGGTTAAGGAGTACGTCGCCCGGGGATCGAACTCCGGACCAAACGAGTGGTAAGCAAGTATTCTACGATTGAACCACCGATGCCTTAATGGTTCCGGAGGGCGGGGGAGGGGAGCAATGGACCCATGACACGTGCATTATCAGCACGAGAACACAAAAAAAATACTTCCACCATATCAAAATTTGATGATGATGACATCTAGGTTGTGCCTCCAAAGCCTCAGGATGGTCGCGGGTGGGTGCCTTGCGCTGCGGGTTGGCCACCCCTCCGCACACCTCCTAAAATGCTCCCATATGACCGGGCGTCTTACATAGCCTCTCCTGAGGAAGTCCTACTCACTGCATCCACGTGGCGGAGGTGTTTTTCACCAAAGTGAGAGGGCGAAAGCGGATGCCCGGCGCTCTTCACCGGGTTGACTGTCCATTGGATGACAGTCTGGGGGAGATGGCTAAACCCTGATTCCAAACCTCCAACGACTGGCGTATGAAGCTCACTGCAGCTCACCGGCAGACGTATGGACAAAGGGCTTGTTGGATGTCCTGGATGTCTGGCCCCATTCAAAAAGGCGTATGAACCGAACTCCGGTCACCGGTTGCCAATGGATAGTGGACTCCCTACTCCACTCCTACTGCCTTGTAGGTAACACTTGGTTGTGTAAAGGCTAGAGCTGCACTCTCAAACAAAAGGCCGAGCGATTCTGGGGACACTCGTACCAAATTCCCATGAAACTTAATATATGTGTAAAACTTGGGCACTGTGGTAGTAAGTAATTCCATATTAGTTTGTTGATATGATTATGAACAATAAATTTTGTTCGAAACGTCATCCAGTAAATAATACTGTTCCCATGAAACTTCATGAGCTCTATTCATGAAGCCGGCTCATCCTCCTGTAGGAGATAGCCGAAGTAAAGTAAGTAAGTAAGGTTGACATCGAAACGTTGAGAGTTTAAAATTCATACTCAAAAGAAATTCACACACTTATTTACATTTTTCTGAAAAAAGAAGAAGACTTACTTTAAGAATATTGTTGGCGTATTTAACAACTAAAGCAACGAGTAAACCACCAAAAGAATGCAGAAAGATAACTATCCAAACAAACCAATCAAAGCCATAGAAATATCCTTTCTGTTGAATTTCATTCCAATCAGTAAGAAGTTGTACAGGTATACCGATAATAATCGACGCAAATGCTAACTCGATATTACGCTGCCATAATGACTTTTTTGTATTCTTCAAAAGCTTTAGTAATAAAGGAGGAAAACAAAAAGGGGATGGGAAGACGAAAAAGCGATAAGATAAAGAATTAAGCATAAAATGCAAGTTGGAATTATACTCTCAAAAGAACAAAAAATAATTGCTAAGCCTAATTTGTACTGTAAGCTGAACAAATCAGGTAGACAAAATTCCCTGCTAAGCTTGTGATGAGGGCTGTCTGCAAGACAAAATTGTAGACAACAATTTACTCAAGTGTTGGTTTGTAGGGATTTGATTGGTTACAGGATTTTCGTCATGAGCTGACATTGGAAAACCTGGGAGTACCGGACAGCTGTTTCGTCAGCCTAGTTTGGGACTCTTCAGCAGTACGCACCCACCGGGATTCGACAACAATTTACGTCAACGTTTACGTTCCGAATCGGAGTCATGAGAAAAAAAAGCCATAACAAAGCTTAACCTTGAGGAACTCATCAATCAATCACAGCAGACTTGACGTGTGCAAATAAGATTTGCAGATATATATGGCTTAACTTTCTAAGAAACGGTCACAAACAGTACAGAATAACCTTCAGCAAGAAAACAATTAATCAAAAGATGTTGCTTCTCTGCTAACAATAACGCTAATAATAATGTACACAAAAATCTATAAATATCTCTTGATTTTCTCAATAAACGATCTGTTGCCTGGCCCTTGTCTTCTGTCGTTACAAGCTGACTGGATTTCAACATAGAACTTTGGGTAGAAAAGCAGCAGTTCAAGTTGCCACACTCCATGCAGCATACATAGGTAGACAAAAGAGTTTCAAAAGCATTATAATAAACACAAATGTGAGACATACAGACCAGTAATATGAAAAAAGCATGACAGTATAGCGGCAGCCTTACACCATCCTTCGCGTTTTGAACCAACTGTCAAAGTTGTCATAAACTGATGCCAGATCTTGGTGCCACCACGCCTAACCCTTTTCCAACTTAATCCAACGTCGGCTAACAATGCTCATCGAAGAAGGTTTTCTTTATTTTATTTATTTATTTAAACGCAGAAAAAAACTTGGTACAATATGGCACCAAGAAAGATGCGCCACACAATAATAATAAAACAACATAGATTAAAGGTAAAAATATAAGTAGAAAACGGATAAAGAACTTCATCTGGAAGGAAAACAGTCATGTTTAACAAGTTCAAACAGTATTCGTTAACTATCATCAGGAAGGGAAGAAAGAAGGAAATTGCAACACGTTCGCCATTGATTACGATTCTTGGACATATCCGATAACGTTTCGAGCCATCGATTCGAGCTATCTCGCGGACCCCAACCAGGGAGTCGTGACGCACCAACAACCGATGCTAATCTAGCACAAATATCCTTCATCCCACGACGCCACGTCATGGACTGACCACCCCTCCGCCTTTTCCATCCCGTCCCAGGGCTGGCTAGCGAACAGAGACCTGTACGGAAGCCTCTGGGTTTTCTAGCCATAACAAGTGATGTAGCTCCATAGCTTGATCTATTGATTTACCCTTATTACCTAACACTCTACGTTTAACCTGGATATTACCATATTATATCACTTAACACGGAAGGTAGAGTACAGAAATCAGTGTACAAAGACAGTTAGTTTTCTCATATCTCCCACTTTCAATAGTCATTTTTTTACAGCTGTGAAAGAGGACAGAGCGAACTACTGTGCAGTACACGCGTCTCTACTAAACATATACACTTCGAAGAGTAATGCTAAGTGCTGAGAGGTTAATTAGGAAAAGAATTAGAGATGGTTAGAGCAAAAACAGTGAATAAAGTCTTCGACTATTTTGATTTGACACTAGTGTGATGCGTCTAGTCCTCTCTTTGGTGCAGACTGAATTCTATCAGTCAGGTTGTAATGTGGCCACCATTCTAGATACCTCGCCATCACGGTGTATATTGTTTGTGATGATATTAGATGGATGGAGACAATCGGCCACAGGAAGCCTTGGCTACACCTAGGTTTCGTGCTAGTTGGCACTCGTCAGCAAAGGCGTATCTGCTACCTTGAAGGAACTCATGTCCCTTCTGAGATTCGAACCCGCGTCACTAGACGCATCACACTAGTTACTAGTGTCAAATTAAAATATCCACTACAGTCCTACAGGAGGTCAGTCGCGAGCCCGAATAGCTCAGTGGTAACGTCTCTGACTGCAGCACTGGGTGACGCGGGTTTGAATCTCAGAAGGGACATCAGTTCCTTCAAAGTTGCAGATACGCCTTGCTGACGAGTGCCAACTAGCACGAAACTTAGGTCCAAGGCTTCCTGCCGATTGCCTCCAACCATCTAATATAATCACAAAGTGTTAAACTGTTGGTTTCAGTTGTATAAGGAGGTGTAGACTACCAACTGGCTCAGATCCCTAAGATGTATAAAGGATCAATGGTTGGAGACAGTTAGTGACATGACTCAAAACCTCTCTCTAAAACATGTGGATGCAATCTCCTTCTTTATGAACTTGTAGATCCATTAAATTCTTACTCTTTCTCCTTTACGTTATAGTTCATATGGATTTCTCTCTCTCTTTAGTATTGCATGCTATATGGAGTCCCAACCGGTAACTTCTAACTTAACATGGTGTATACGCTTGCATATCACAATGATCCAAATAGCTACACTGCCTGGAGCTAATGTTATTGCAGGTCGTATCATGCTACAAAAGTCGGTTGAATAGCAGTGAGACTAAAAACAGTTACCATCGTAGTGTAAGTCGTTTACACTATGATGAACGTCTGTAGGCGTAGTTGCACTGCGGGCAAGTGGCGATGTAATAGCAGCAAGCTGTTTCCTTCAGGTGATCAGCAAGTCAAATATGCTACTTCTCAGCTCTGGAGAAAGATGGGGGGGAGGTTAGAATAGATCAACTAAGAATATTGTACATCCCGACTTATCTTGCGGCGATAAGACCTTACTTAATACGGACACAACTCCAACAGCCACTTTAAGCAGGCCATGTGTGACCGGTTTCAAGCAGTTGTCTTTTGTGTCACTACTAGGTACTCCAAGGAGAAATCTGCTATATGCAGTGCAGGAAGTTGGGCGAAAGTCCAACGTTGAAAACTTAGTACCAGACTCAACTTGGGCGTTTGGATTCTATCAGAGGAAGGCATCTAGTGAAAATCACTCACATATATAGTCTGGAACATAACAAGTCTGTGATACCATGTGAGTAAATTAATTATAATACTAGCATATCGATTAGCTATTTTTTTAAATCAATTTAGAGGAACGACTTGAATTTTTTAGAGTTAAAACTGAAATATATATATCGGAGATCAGCAGTTAAAATTTTGATGTCATAGGAAAACTGAATGGTTTTTGTCTGTATTCATTATTAAATAACTACGAGTCTGGGTCAAATCAGACTGTATGAGAATTACTCAATGTATAAAAACAAACAACTGGTTATCTTTTATACAATAAGAAAAACGGAATAACTGTGAACTGAACCTTTTGCGACTATATATGTGCATATGATTACAGCAGTGTCAAATGACTAAACAGCGTAATACGATGTGTTAATTGTTTATTTATTGAATATGGAGTGGATAGAAATCATAACATTAAAGAGATGTCGTGAATTGGCAGAAGTTAGAATTCATGGGCCATTGGATCGGGTCCCAGTGGCTTAATGATATACGAGCTTGCCTTGTAAACCAGAAGGTCCTGGGTTCGAATCCCGGTGGGCGCGTACTGCTGAAGGGTCCCGAACTCGGACGAAACAGCTGTCCAGTACTACCAGGTTTTCCAATGGTTCTCTGACTAATGTCAGCTCATAATGAAAATCCTGTAAAATTAATCCATCTTGGAGTTATAATAGCGAATAGAATGTCAACTTAAATTAGGGAAATTTCACAATGTCCACTTTTTATTTAATAAGGAACTGTTGTATAGACAAATCGACGGTATGGCAAATGAGTCACCAGTAGGACCAATTCTAGCCGACATTTTCCTTGCGAAACTAGAAAATAATGGGCCTTTGAAGGATGTTATTAATGAACTCGAATTTTATTGTCGGTACATGGATGATACTTTTTTGATTATGAAGAACGAAAAGGAAGCAAAGAATATTCTGGACAAATTTAATGAGGTACATCCTGCAATAAATTTTACTATTGAGAAAGAAAAAGGCTCTAGTATTTCATTTTTAGACCTCCTTATGACCAGGAAGGAGGACGGTGCAATAAGAAGAAGTGCTTATAGAAAAACCTACATCAACGGGCCAGTACACACGTTTTCTCAGCTTTGTGCCCTTGAAATACAGATGCAATCTTATAAAGTGCTTGGTCCACAGAGCAAGAGAGATTTGTTCGGACGAATGTCTTGACGAGGAACTCAATAATATTAAACGGTTGCTAAGTGAGAATGGTTATCCTGAAAAGTTTATTGATAAGAATATGAATCTGAAACCAAAGCAGCCCAAGTTACCAACAGTTCCAAAAAAGGCCTTATTCTTACAGATGCAATTCCTAGGAAACAACACAAGTGAGATACTAACACAGCACCTTAGAAATGCTGTAAAAGGACCATTCCCTGCTGCTGAATTACGCTGCATCTTTAAAACCACTCCTCTTCTGCGTTCGGGAATAACAGACAAACTGCCTAATTTCGCCTCTTCCATGTGTATATACCAATTTAACTACTCCTGTGGAGCCAGTTACATAGGCCGTACAATTTGGCGTGTTTCTCGTCAAATTTCCGAACATCACCCTGCCTGGTTAAGCAAAGGACAAACAAAATCTATTCGCAGCGCTATTCTGTCTCATCTTGCAGAGACAGAACACAAGATTTACGTTAATCATGCTTTCAGGGTCATTTACCGCATTCCTACAAATCTCAATTTTGATTTAAGAGTTCGACTACTAAATATTGCTGAGGCTGTGGGGATCCATGTTAATAAGCCTAATTTATGCATAAAAAAAGAAGTTAGTTCAGTCATTATCATTACCTTGGCCATCCAGGTTTGAATAATCCGGGATTTTTGTGAAATCTCCCTA